AAATACAACAATTGAACAACATCAAAATAACAATAACAACAACAAAAACAATAACAATAATTAAACACATTAGAAATCCCATTTAAAAATAGTAGGAAGAAGAAGAAAACACGTGATGACGGTCACCACACTATCACACATCAGATGACAGCCGGTTGTTGGACGACTATGATGACCAATCTTTTTTGATCATGTCGGCGCCTTTTTCACCGATCATGATGACTGGCGCGTTGGGGTTGCCACTGATTATGTTCGGCATGATAGAGGCGTCTATCACCCGGAGACCATCGATGCCCCGCACTCGCAACCGGTGGTCGACCACCGCATCGGGGTCCGTGTCCGGGCCCATCTTGCACGTGCCGGCCGGATGGTAAATGGTGAACGTGAAGTGCCTGAGCGCGCATTCCCAGTACTCGTCGCTGAACAACTCGAACTTCTTGCACCCCGGCATGGGTGTCAGTAGCGGCCTGGAGTTGTATTTACGAAATGCGGCTGTGTTGGACACGTTGAACGCGATCCGGATGCCGTCAACCAACACCTGTACGTCTTCCCGGTGCGCGAAATAGTTGGGCTCGATGATCGGATGCGCCAGCGGGTTCTTTGATTTCAGTCGCACCCACCCGGAGCTTTTGGGACGCAATAGCAGTGGCAGCAGCGTCCACGTCTCGGCGTTCACCAGCGGCTTGTACACTGTGTTGTACACGGCGTCCCGGAGCCCAGTGATCTTCCGTATCTGATCGCCGTCCGAGTTGACGGAACTGGGCGCGAAGTGGAACTGTATGTCCGGGAACTCACCCGACGGGTCAGCGTACTTGGTGTTGACGAACGCCAGGCCCTCGACGCCGCTGGATGTCAGAGGGCCCCGCTCATTCATTATGTAGTCGAGGGCCACGGACGCCGAGGTGAACCGGGACTTTTTGAACGTGATCGGATCGTCGATGAGAAACGTCAACCCACCCAGGCCCACGTGGTCCTGCAGATTGTGGCCCACTTTCAGATCGACGACCGGCTTTATGCCCAGTTCGGTAAGGTGGTCGGCCGGCCCGACGCCCGACACCATGAGCAGCTGTGGTGATCCGATGGCACCCGCCGAAAGTATCACTTCCTTCCGGGCGGTAACCGTGCGCCTCTTGCCGTTCCGGAGGTACGTGACACCGGTCGCCCGGAGCTTGTCACTTCCATCATTACCTCCGGAAAAATGTATTCGGGTCACTTGGCTGTGCATCGACACATGAATGTTGGGCCGTAGTCGGATCGGCCGGAGGAACGCTTTGGCAGTACTGCACCGGCTGCCTCGGCGGGTGGTAGTCTGGGTGAGCATGAACCCGTTCTGGAACTGACCATTGATGTCACGGTTCTGATAGCCCAACTCCTCGCCAGCGGCAACGAACGCTGTAGCCAGAGGTGTCCGCCACGGCGCCTCCGACACGGTCAGGTAGCCACCGCGTGTGTGATACTTGGTCCTGGCAAGGTATGGGTTCCGGTTATCTTCAGATTTGAGGAAGTACGGCAGTACGTCCGCGTAGGCCCAGCCAGGATTACCAGCCGCGGCCCACAGATCGTAGTCCCTTTGGTTGCCCCGCACGTACACCATGGCGTTGAGCACGCTGGAACCACCCAGCACTTTCCCGCGGGGCCAGTTGCACCGATCGTGTACCATGGCCAAGCAGTACGGGTTGTCACTGGAAGGCGGCGCCGTCTTGTACTGCCAGTCCATATCGGATAGCTGCAGGTAGCCGACGAACGAAGGAACGTCCGATATCTCCGTCTCGTCGCCGCCGGCTTCCAGCACCAGCACCGTCCAGTTTTGCATTTCCGACAACCTGTTAGCTATTACGGCCCCAGCTGAGCCCGCGCCCACCACTATGAAATCGTATTCATCTCGTACCTGAAATAACATTATTGCATTAGAGTTTAATTACAATTTACACACCCTTTGATATATCTTATGATATTATAATATTATGTTTTGGCCGTGCATCGACTACTATAAATTCTTGCCCATAGAACCCTACTTTAAAATAAAAATTGACCTCAACACGGACAACTATTCTCTTGAAATGGAAAACATACATAATTGAAATGCATAACATCGGTACCTAAGTATTTGAATTTTTTTTTAAATTGTGCATTATTTTAATAATTATAAGACATATTTATATTTTTCAAGATAAGTTCATAACATCGTTGCTTTTTAAATTATAAGTTAGATACTTGACTTCCATAGTTATTTTTGCATACATATTTGTAGACACACGTTTTTTTTAATTTTATTGTATCATTATATTATGATTATAAAATGATTTATGGTTTCACGAATTTGTTTATTAAAATTTAATATTTTTTTTCAATGTCCATGTAAGTTAATTTTAATTGAAACCTATAAAACAAGTCCTCTGTTCATATTCAAAGTTATCCTAATTTCAATATAATATATTCCAATGAGCCAGTTTTTTACTGTGTGCAGACAGCAGACGTATTGTCGGCACACAGAGGATAAGCCATCATAAGTGCTGGTCGACACACCTGGTACGTCTTTCGATAACCACCTTCATCACTGCAGCAACCAGTATCCCGGGCTTTATTACCTATTATTTTCTTTGTCATTTTTACTTTTTTGCAACCTCTATAGTCTATACTCTATAGTATTGTTGTTTGAAACCTATTTTATAAACAATTATCCACATTATAAACATGTCATTGTATGGATACTTAAAATGCAATACACTATAGTCTATAATGTATAAGTAATTGCAGGCGGACAATTTACGAAGAGTTATTATATACTGTCATATGTTTGATGCATGAATACATCGTAATAATAAAACATAATGTACCTACTACCTACTGGCTTAATTTTTTTTTTTATCAATTATTATGTTGAACAGTCGGTAACTTCGTCTATAATCGTTTAGCTACATATCAATACTGGAACAATGATCGAATAGCAAGATAATAACAAACTATACCTCCTAGTTTTTACATTCATCGATTAAAACGCTAACGATTAACCTATACCACCTGGGGGCGAATTTTATACAAGACACAGCTACAATAGCAAATCTATTCGTAGAGAGTTTAAGTTTGAGAGGCAAGGGTATCTGAAACTAATATAGTCACTGGAGACAATCGAATTGTACCATACATTAAAATCAACTGAAATCAAATTGCAAAGAAAGTAGATATTTTTTACATATTATAAAATACTTAAATATAAGTAATAAGTACCTTTTGAACATTTTTTTTATTATAAAATTCTTAAATATAAGTAATAAGTACCTTTTGAACAAAATATTTTTTTTGAACATTTTTGCTTAGCATACCTACGCCATATGGTTAGAATATAAAATTATAAATATTTTGTATATCTGCAGTATAGAATGACTATACAACAACAAAATCGTATTGATTTTTTGAACTCATTTATTCAATAATTATCAAAATTATATTTTTTGATTTCTGATAATATTTAAAAACTTAAACACTAATAATATTGCTTCATGATTTTTGTTTTGTTTTAAGTTTAAAACTTTCTAAATACTTACTAAAGCTAATGAATTTATAATGTTATGTTACTTGTTTGCCAATATAAAATTTGTCGTAACAGTATTATAGCATTATGTATGATCATAATTCATGATGCATAATAAGTAATGGAATTTTCAACTACATCTGCCAATAGAATATTACTACTCAAAGAGTCGTATATGTTAACATGTAAACTATTTACAATTACATCATAATACCTACTGTTATTTAATTTATATGTAAATATTCTAGCTTAAAAATGAGATTCATGGCCGAAATAAATTATTTAAATAGATTGGAATGATAAATACTTAATAATATAATTCCAATTTTAATAACCTGATTCAAAAAATAGTATTATAAAGTGCTGTTGTAAAATAAATATTCAAATCAAATCAAAAAATATATATACGTTTAAATAAGATAAAAAAAAATATTAAAATAAAAAGCGGTAAAGCAATGACTCTCTATATAAATATAATATAATGGTATTATGTTTTCTTCGGTTTAAAATCTATAATACGATTTTCTCATACTTAATACCTAGGTATGGGTACAATAATACTGAGCTGTATTTATGATATCAATTTAATATTAGAATACTTGAGTTCGGTAAGAATAATTTTCCCACATTTAATTACCCTATTTTCTTTTCTTTTTTTTTACCAAGAAGCTAAATTGCATTATTAATCGTAATTTAACGTATAAATTACCTTCATGTGAAATTTTTGTAATAGACGCATTAAGGTATTATAGTCTTCAGTAAAGTATCACTCGTCGCATAGAGTTGTATTTTACAACTATTCGAACAGACTATAATATAAATTATAGACGTAAACTATGCACTATAATAGGTATTCATTATGCAGAGTACTATTATAATAGTATGTAGGTAGTATGAACATAATTTATTGAGCCAAACGTAATCGTGTTAAGATTTACACACATCATCAAGTACGTGTTTAGCTCAATAACCAGTATTTTATTACCCGAATGTTGTATTAATCAAATTCCTTACAGTTTTATAATATATCTAGTGATATAGTGAATAGTGCCATATTGTCGTGACAATAATGAATAGCGACGATTTAACCACGTTTTGATTTGAATTGATACACACATAAAATCAACATAATATTATGGTATTGCACGATAATATTGTCCCCAACTTAAAATGATTTTAGTTTATTGATATTATCTAGGTTTTCTTCTTTTTTTTTTAAATATTTGAACTTGACAATTTTATTCTGATTGCTAGGTACATATTATAAACTTTATGAAATCAAAATGTTTGACTTTATACATTTGTAATAAAACAATTATTATTGAAGTATTAATTAAATATTTGGAATATGAACTGTTTGAATGAAAAATGAAAGTTATTTGTACAAACATATTATTAATCAACGATTTCATGAATGGCATGTCAACAACAATGACTACAGTATGGACGATATCTACTTAATATAATATTATAAATTATAACAATGTTAAGATTAATGATATGTGTTATGTAACTAAATATTTACTAGTTTACAAAAGTGAGAATTAACTAGTTGAAATGTAAAAACTAATTTAAAAAATTTGTTTTAACTTTTTAATTTTTCTAGTTGCCTATTTAATTTTATAATTTTATAATCAGATAATTTAACTAATTTAAGAGTCCATTTTAAAATTCTATCAATTTAAACTTTATCCAGTTAATTAAAAAACAATACATTAATAGTTGACATCATGTTTATATATAGATATGAGCATAATATGATTATAGTAATATAACTATACTAATAAATAAATAATTTGGTTTTTTTTATCACTCTGTAAATAAATATATACAAATATTTAATATTCTTTGATTTAATAATCAATAGCGGACACCGGACATTTTGTAATTGTTAAATCCGTTAAGCCACTATACGCGCGGTTAGTGTGCAATAATAAAGAATAGTATACATAGTATGCAATTTTAACAAAATATTAAATTATGATTTAAAAAGGTGGACGTGTGAGGACCACTCTGCTGTACAGTAGTTGTAATGGATGTGTTACATTTGAACACAATAATAAACCATTGTATACGAAAAACGATTCTGAGCGGTTAGCGTAGTCCTTGTAATATTATTATTTTTTATTCGTTGCTATGGTGATAAATAAATCGTTAAAAATTTAAATCCCATTTTTAGCGATTTTTCGTAATTTGTCGGTAGTTTTTCTCAACACTGTCTACTTGGAATTTTCAATTTTGACCTCTTAAAAGTACCAAACAGGTTCACTTTTCTTTCAGAAAAAACGCTGAAATTTAAGCATGCTTACTATCCGAAATGTTGATGACAGACAGAAAAAAAACACACACATTATTGTAAAACCAATACATTCTTTCGCTCCATTCAGAATCTAAAAATGTTAAGTTATACAATCTTTAATACTACAGGTGGTACATAAAAATAATAATTTCCTTGGATTAAGCGCTATAAACAGCTTTACAACGACACGGGATAACCTTTCCTATCAGCATGGATAACAAATCAACTATAAACCTTACATGACAGGCTAAATAAGACCGAAGGAGCTAACCTCATCAAAATCAGCTAAATAATACATATTAAAACCACGCGTATCTCAAGATATATTTCTAAGACCACGAATACTAACACGATAACTAATAAATCTGATATTATTAGGTAATATTTCTCATTAGTAATATCTTTATAAGTAACTAATAATATTGTAAAAAAATAAAGTATGTTGATAAAATTCATTAAATTCGTGAACAAAAAAATCACGTGAAACCGAATGTAAACAAGAAAATCAACTGCACATCATAATAACTTAATTAAATGTATAACCAACAAATAATAATAACAGCTAGGTATGTATAATGTGTAGGCGTATGTGTAGTTCAATATATAAACAAAACTAGTTTGTAGCTGTCTACATTTTCATTAGTACCTATAGGTATTGTAAATGACTGAAATGATTCTCATCAAAAAAAATCCTATCGTTTTTTTGATTTAACTACATTGTTTTATAATTTTTTGTACACTTTTTGAAATAAATAAAATCTTATATAACCAAGAGTTGTATTGAAGTATCATAAAATTATGATGGGTAACCGGTTGACGGTTTCTACTAAAGTGGAAAATATTAAAGATCTTGGCTATATTTGTTTAAGTAACTACATAAATATATAATAAAGTACATAATATGCGTATTATGTACCTACATAATTATGCAATAATAACAACTTTCGTGCGTATTGCGGAACCAACTCTAAAATCTGATTTCTAGACGATTGATTATGCGAATATGGTAACAGATAAATTAAGAAATTAATAATATATTAACCAAAAATAAAATGCTCCGAAAACTTAGAAGTTAAAGACGTTTAAAGCGGGTTTAATTTTTATGACAGTAAAAATGTCATCAATGTTTTTTTTTCTGGATCATACTTTTAAGTACACAAACTTTATGTTTATTACCTATTATAGAATAGTATAGGAGAAGTTTGGGAGCGTTACGTTTTATGGTTATTGGTGACGAATCATATTATACTGCAGTCATTGATATACCGCCGCTATCTTATACATTATACGAATGACCCTACCTGTAAATTGAAAGGGTTTACGGCAGTGAAAGGAATCTGATTCGGTTATATTGTTATCCGTATAATATGTTATTAAGCGATCACAAAAAAAGATGATGATAACAATAATAGTAGTGTCAACCTCATTCCCAAATACCAAATAAAGACTCTTAAAAAAAAAAAAACATTATTATTTTTGTGTTCAACAAGAATGGAAAAAAATATATTGTAATCCGAAAAAATTGGTATGGGAACACAACGAGTAACAACAACGATACCTACTATAGGTAATCTATTGTAGTCGATATTCCAGCGTGTTACCGTACATTATCTGAATGAGGTGCCCTCAAATCGACCATCATCGAGCAAAATTATTTGATTTTTGGACGTAGATCGTATACACTTGAGGTTAATTCGTCTTCGTTTTACACGAATTAGCATGTTTTTGTGGGTACTAGACGGTGAAAACAATAAAGAATAATTACAGATTATAATAAATTACCCGAAAGAAAAAAAAGGTGAGATTTGAAGTGACGGCTGAGTCAATCAGACCATTTATAAACCATACAATATTATAATTTATCTGCGGTCGAGTGAAAATAAAATTAATGTTAAATTCTGTCATAGTTAATCGAACGATCGCATCGGTAAAAAAAAAAACATTACTACCTCTCCTAAAGTGTTATAAGACGATCGAAGGTACAATGCAGTTGCTATGCCTGCGGACGTAGAAAAACACCCTGAGAGTAATTGGGGATGGAGAACGGTGTACAAGGAATCCGTACATACCGCGTTTCTGCCACCCTACAGTACAAATCCAGAGTAGGTACCAAAGTTATCGTCGAATGCATAAAGCCACGGGGTAAGGGCTTAAGTTTATGGACAAATGTAGTATTTACCTCTAGGACGTCTACCACACGTGACTCGGGGTCGTACATCGAGTACCGGAGGTATGCCAACCCGACCACGAACACGGGGATCATGCCAGCTCCGGTCCATGCGGCGCTGTTCATGGCACCGGATATCAACGACGCCATTGCTGCTGATTTTTTCGGAAAAGTTTGTATACGTCTTCCGATTGATCTTCGGCACTACGCGTTGGACAACGGCACTAATAATAATTACAAGTATGAAATAAAGTATAGAACTCGCGTGTTATCGGAACGGTACCGCGGTCTCGGTCGTACCGTAGTCTTGTCGTGGACAATATCCGTTCGGGGCACACTGACCGATCCGGGCGGTCTTCATATTTTTACGACGATTTTCCGGTCCACTATAGGCGCGGACACCGACGACTGTACCTGCACTCGTCCCGGTACCCGGCTTCCACCATCACGACTACGACTATTGCTTTCTAAAACCGTAAACGCCGAACTAAAAATAATAAAATAATAACGATAATACTACCTACTACTATTCTTCTACTACTAATAACAAAAATAATAAAAATAATAATAATAGCAAGACGACTATATGGGGACGCGACGCGCTCGAGGACGAGTGAGAGTTCTTCGCCGAGACGAGACTAGACGACTGCGGCAGTTTCGCCGGGGCCCGAGTCCCACCACCGCGGGAATGCATTTCTATAATGATGTGATATATATCTATAAATATATAAATGTATATATATATTACACATTATATTATATTATACGCGCGGAATTGAACGTAGACCGCCACCGCCACCGCCGCGTACGATGTTAACGTGCCCGTCGCGTATTACCGTAAGATTTGTGCGTTCAAATTTTTTTTTATATTTCACTTCCCGGCCGACGCGAGTAAATAAATATACGCGTATACCTACGTGAAAGTGGTCACGACCCGGCGGGTTCGGGTTTCGTGTGTATACCTATAATATATACCCACGTATAATATTATTATATATATGAGCATATACAAGTTTAAAACACTTTTCGTTTCACTTTATAACGGTCCTTGAAAACTGTGCACGTAATCGCAATCTCCTCTCGCAAATTTTATCAACAACACGTTTATTAAAATGTACCTACGTTTAAAACTAGAAAAAAAAACGTATACTAATTATCTCTTATTGGTATGACTCGCTCTATACCTTCTATATACGAGTCGTCTAAGAAAAACAATGCGTACCTACCTCCGACTCGTAAGATATATATTTAGGTACTTACGACATTTTGCAGATATGTAAAACGACAATGCGTTTGAAATATCGATAACTTCTGGGCGGCTAATTTGTAAATGTAAATAATTATGGTTTTTATTTTTAAGTAATGATTCTAATACAAATTTTAATTTTGGCATTTTTAAATGTATATTTTATTTGTATTTAATTGGTTACATCATAAATTGTCAAGCAGGTTTGTATTATTTAAAATCATTAATAGGTATCTATAAAATGTATTATTCTTCGTACACATTGTCTATGATTGTTGGTGGTGCTTTCAATTAGGTACGTTGCGTCAGTTACGTAAGGTAGTCTACAGTAGTGTGTTTTAGAACGAGACATATGAGTGATGTGACGCATATTGGTTGCGGTACTTTGGTATAAAAGTAAAGATGGATGTGTTACAGTTGAATCCCACGGACCCTAATTTACACCTAATATTGAGTTAAACAATTTTTTTTGAATAAAACATTTTCGGATTTTCCTACACATTTTACAAACTTACAGTTACATAACTTACTTATGTCGAAAAAATTAAAGTTATACTATTTATTGGAGTATTCAACCTAGACATCCAGGCATATTATTTCTCCAATTTATTTTATAATTCTATAGATCCTGGTATTACTATAATTGAGTATAATCAATCAAAGATATGTATGATAAAATAATATATTATAGGTACATATTATTTGTGGACTGTGAATCCAATGAATTATTAACGAATAGAATTCATCCATAGTCCATAGGTACAAATTACAATTCCCAATCGGACTCTGAACTATGTATAAGTAATAAGTATATTCTGGAAACTATTACTTGAATCCGCCTGGAGAGTCCTTGGGAAGGTCAGCGCTGGATTAACGTACAGCCTTATAGCGTATTATAGGAAATTTCTTCTTGTGTCATATTGTTCAATGGTGCCAAATATCATCAACTTTATATTGGTAATATAATATTTAAATATATATAAATGTATAATGCATGTTATTCATAATTATGATGATTAATAAATAATAGTATAAAACGATATAATTAGTTTATATTTTTTATTGCTTACCTATTTTTAATGTGACAACTCTTGTAATACATTCCAACTAGGATAAATGTATAATTTGCCAAGTGATATGTTATGTGTATCATAGGTGGGCATTGATGTAGGGGAAGTCCGGGGCACTTGAACAGGGAGGAGACATGAACCACCCTCTCATATATTTTAGATTCTGAGCGGACTAGAGAAAAAGCTAGTGGTTTTACAATGGTGTTTATTATTTTTTATCCTGTGTATAAAATTTCTACTAGAAGGAGTGCTTCGAGTTCATTATATAGTACCTTATCTTTTAGCAAATTGGATCAACCTGGTACTTTAGAAAGGTCATTTTTCGATTTTCTCAATATTTATTTAATGCCATTAAATTTATTAAATTACGAAAAACCGTTAAAAATGGGATTTTAATTTCTAACGCTTTGTTTATTACCATAGAAACGAATAAAAAATTATAATATTATAATATTAATTCAACTTACGGGATATAATAAATAATAACAGTATAAAATATCCAGACTGACAAGCCGTCTCCTCTCAGAATCATTTACCTTATACAATAATATAATATCATTGAATTCTATTTGAATACAATCCATTATATATTTATCCACTTATAACCTACTGTACAGCAGAGCGATATTCACTTACCCGCTTTTTTTTTTTTTTAAATTTTGGGCTACCTGCCGAGGCAACAGCTGAATCATAACGTGCATTATCACTCCATAAATTTACTTATGTGTCAACAAAAGATTTCAAAATGTCTTTTGATATTTTATCAATCGAAAATATGTTTTGATATTATCAAAGTAAAAAAGCGGTTAAGTAGATGTCGCTCTGCTGACCTCTTTAAAGTACCATCTTGATCAAATTTGCTAAAATATAAGGTGCTATATGTTGAAATCGAAGCATTCTTTCTGGTAGATATTTTATATACAGGATAAAAAAATAACACCATTGTACAACCACTAACTTCCTCGCTCAGCTCAGAATCTAAAAAAATTGTTACCCTCGTAATTTACTCCTATTTTAAAGTATCTATATACTGTATTCATAAATAATTTCGCAATCTTATGTAGTTCCATGCAATATATATTAACTAGTTTCATCAATGGTATTTTACTTTTTTTTCATAATTTGATGAGGTAGTGGGAAATTTGAACCATGGTCTGGAGGGAGGGTGAACTATTTTTAAATATCATAGGTAATAAGAAAACTAAAAAGGGGGACGGAGTGACCGAGTGGACTAAGGCATCGGGTTTTCTCCGGCAAGTCACGGCTTGCCCCGAGAGAAGTGCCATCATCGCTCAGCCGGGCATGGCAGATACCTACTGGTGCTCACTAAAAAATTCTGCCAAAACAAACACACACGTGTTCAAAACCTACAGTACCCCACAGTTAAGAACCACCCAAGATACCACGGGTTAATTAATAAAAAAAAAAAAACCAAAAAGTTTCTTTTGTTATTGTTATTTATAAAAAAGTATTTGTCAAAATGTTACAATAAGTATTAAACTATAAATCAGTCTAAAAAAAATGATTGTTAAAAATAAATCAAAAATTTGTTTTTGTTATTGTTATTGTTATTGTTATCTTTATATATATTATAATTCTACTGTACGTGTATTTGTAAGCGAACTCTTCCTAAACAGCTGGACCGATTTTGATGAAATTTTTTGTGTGTGCTTTAGTGGACCCTAGAATGTTATAGATTCACAATCGGACCCGGTAGGCCCATTCCGTGGAGGTACTCAAACGGGAATGTTGAGATTTATGGTGGATATTTTTGTTTATAAATGGTAGCCATGGGTTTTAATTTTTTAAAGCTATTATAATAATAAAGATTGTTTGCCGTGAAATCAGAAATAATTAAAAATAATTTATAAACAACGTTAATATAATTATTGTATTTAGAAAAAATGATGTTATTTCAAAATAAAGAATAATGAAATTATTATATCATTTGGCTTTCATTTCATACTTTATTTAATATCCTAATCGATTGAAATATCATGCAGGACAACGTCTGTCGGGTCAGCTAGTCTATTTATAAAAAGTGTTTATAAAAATGTAACATAAATAATAAATTGTAATGATTGTTCCTAGAATTACAATTTTATTTCTGTGACTTTACAAACATAACAATTTATGTTCATAACATTCATTGATATGTTCATATCTCCCGGTTCTTTGATTCAAGTCACCCACCCAGCAGGGAGATTTGAGCCACTTTCCAACTTCAAGACACGAAAAACTAGAACTCATGGTTATAAATATAGAATAATACGGAATTTATTACAGGTTACTATGTAGCCATGCTTTCTTTAGACATAAATTACATTTCTCTATATTGATTACGAAAGAAATTATAAATTATTATTTCTAAAAAGCGGTTCAATTGTCCCGGATACCCCCTATGTTGTTTACATGAACATATTTTTAAAAAAAAGTATGAAAAAAGTAGGAATTATGTGATTTTTATTTGAGTATTGGAGCGCAAACAAAATTATTGTCAATAAGAACATTTTTTCCAAACTGAAGAAAATGTCCATTTTGACAAATTAGAGCATTGTATCATAGATATTATATGAGCAGTTGAAATCAATTAAGTTTGTCGCATTAAGTTTTATACTTCGTAAACAACTGTAGGTACCTAATTTTTTAACTTTAGGTACAACTAATTGGTTACTAATATTTGAAGTCATTTTTGACTATATTGAAAATTTTAAATTTTAAGTTGGTGATGTCAAAACGAATCGACGACATTATTCTTCATTATTATTTATAAACTAATAATATTATCATGTATACCTACGTGGCTACGTGTGATAATTTGTTATCTATTAGTAACGTTAGTGAAGTTTTCAAAAATATTTTAATTTAAAAAATGTTAAGTAAAATACATACGTATTTAGTTGATTTTAAATTTAACTTGATATGAATAAAATATAACTTATACAATAGTTTGAAATTATTATATTAAATTATGTGTATAGTTGCCTATTTGAAACGCCTTGAAAACGACCGTCCGAGTCGGTCCCGTAAAAGTTAGTTTTCATATTAACAAGAACAAAAATATAAGTTTTAATACTTATTTATGCAAATAATAAATAGTTGAATTTGTTTAATATAAGCTTATTAGTTTTATTTGTATTCATAACTTTATGGACATTTAATTTATTTTAATAACCGATACATACCAATGTACCATGATAGGTATTCAATGTTCACTATCAATTTGTAATTATTATGAACTTTCACATACCATTTATAACATAATTTGTATAAAATGCATATAACTTAAACTAAAAAGGTATAAGGTAACTGGAAATATCTATAATAACATGTTATAATGTTTTCATTGGAAAGCTTGATTATTATAAAATATGACAATTAAATAAGGATTAAAATATATTATGTTTAAAATTAAAATGATTCAAGTTTCTGTATTTAATTATATTTTTTATCATAAATACGTCAATATTTAACTCCCAGTCAAATCTGATATTAAAAATATAACCATTGAGTATCGATAGAAATCTATTCTCAATGACTATAGCTATAAAGATGGAATATTGTGCATTATGAATAACTTTAACACAATAAATTATTAAATTTTAAAATATTGTTATCTAGGTACCTATTAAAACAAATGTGATGTAACAATGTATCATTGTAGAAAAATTCAATCTTAGTAATTCATAATAACCAATACATACCAAATAATTACATAAATACATTTTTCTGTTATAAGTATAGAGGTACATCTAATGGTCTTATAATGTAATTTACTCAAAAGTCATGTTCATAATATTTTGATTTACAGTGTTAGTTAACAAATACTACTAGTTATACATACAACAAATACAAAGAAAGTAAAATATAAATGATTCAATACACTTTAATACAATGTGTAAGTATACAACAGAAATATCAAAGTGGTTCACAATTAGGTATAGTAAACAATAAGAAATATAATAGTAATAATAATAATACTAATATTTATATCCAGACTAGAGTAAATGATAACATACAATTAGTTTTGATAAGTTTGTCAAGTAATTTAACATTTTGTAACAAAATGTTTTTAAAAAAGGTTTAAACCGTAAATGTGATTTTAAAGATGTAAAGAAGAAGTTATCCATAAAAATAGTATAATCATAATAGTCGTTTGATCTTATAATTACATACCTATACATTTTCATAAAAATTGAGCAACACAACTTTACATAAGTATTGAGATGATCGAGGGCTTAACCTAATTCTAATAGGCTGCAGATGGTAATATTGGCTAACTAATGGTAATATTCGAACTCCTTCGTCTCCTCCTTCTCGTGTCAACGCCATGCCAATAATTGATTATCATGTCAGAACCTTTCTCACCAATCATTATTGTCGGGGCATTTATGTTACCATTGGTGATCTGAGGCATAATGCTGGCGTCAATTACTCGCAAGCCCTGGATTCCATACACTCTGAGCTTGGGGTCGACTACGGCAAATGGATCGGTAGGCGGTCCCATTTTACATGTGCCTGAAAAACGCATAAAATATGATGAGATGCGTGAATATATAATTTTGATATTGAATCGATTAGATTAGATAAGTTTTAACTAATTCTCTGCACACCGTTGCCCGTAACCAATTAAATAACGTCAGAGGATTTACACTGTCTTAAAATCCACTAGATGTAAACAACTTGTATTTTTTTTTTTTTTGATTATATTTAAAATGTATCAGCAAATTAATGCTTTGGCAAGTTTTAAATTATATTTTAACACATTCATTATGTTGGCGGTTTTGATAAAATATAATATTATATACGCCTACAATTATATCTCATTATAATAATTGTTTTATTTTCTGTAATCAATGGAAATCCTAAACATACAAAAAAGTATTCTTTTTTTTTCAGCCAGCATTCCATGTGCGCCCTTTTTTAAAAATCTAAATTTAAAAATTTGTCTTTGAGGTCCACATCCTCGGGTAGAAAATTATCTATATGTACCAAATTTCCGAACCCTGAGTGCGATTTTTTTTTTTTGCACAATATACTGCAACGTATAAAATTATATGCTGTCAAAATAATATAACCCGTAAGTATATTCATAAATCTATCTCCGGTATTCGAAAGCTCATTGCGTATTGTTTGAAAATATTCATTTTCCGTTTGCGCAGGTAGCGTTTGAAGTGGTAAAAAAAAAAAATAGATTGTGGCACCGATCGGGGGGGGGGGCCGTACTTACCAGACATGTGGTATATGGTCATGGTGTACTGACGTATGACGCACTCCCAATACTCGTCGGTGAACAGCTCGAGGGTCTTGCAACCGGGCACCGGCCTGGAGTGGAATCGGGCGCCGAATCGTTTCATGGCAGTCGTTTCGCCCACGGCCACCGCTGCCTTGACACCCTCTCGCAGCACCCGCAGATCGTCCGGGTGCGAGAAATAGTTGTGGTACAAAAGAGGGTACTGGTGTGGGTTGTTGCTCCGGAGCAGTATGCGACCCCTGCTCTTGGGCCTCAACAGCATCGGAAACACGCCGAACACGTCCTTGTTGCTCAGGTCGCCCAGCAGCTCGTTGTAGAATTCGTCTTTCAGACAGTGCGCCTTCCGGGCCGCCGTCCCGCCGTCAGAGTTGGTCGACGTGGACGTCAGCATGAACTCGATGTCCGGCCAGTCGTCCGACTGGTTACCGTATTTGGTCGTGATAAATGCCACCGTCTCCAATCCTATGGACGACGTCAGTGGTCCCTCGCCCAGCACGGCATACCTGTTGTAGCAGACGTTGCAACGTTAATACGAGAACATAGTAAGTACGTAATCGTGCGAAATACTGAGTTTTTGATAACTATAAGGTATGCTTAGATTATCATAAAAAATTATATTTAGCTCAAAACTGATAAAATTGTAATATTAATATTTAATACCAATGTCATACGTGTCAGAACTCAGAAGACAGATTGTAATTTAAAAACTTGTCACATTCGTATAATATTATAATGATATAGTACGCGTTGTACCGCTATTATTGTAATATATTCTGTCATTCAGGTCTAAATAATTTTATTCAATGAATAAAAGGTCTGTATTGATATCGCACCTATAACAATATTATTGTTTTTTTTTACGATGTATTGCAACATTAACTGTAATAGCACGTCATAGCGATTGCGATGTTTCAAATATTTTATGTTTCGTGTACAAGCACACCACTGATTTTAGATTCTGATCGGAAGGATTCAACGATCAATTAATTAATTGGTGTTACAAGGACGGCTTAAAAGGTATTATAGAAAAACATCATATTATATAAAGTGTTGTTAAGCCCCACTACAGCAGATCAAAATTCTTACATCACATTGCGATATATTTCAAATTTTTTTTAGAAAATTACGAAGAGTCGTAAGCTAAGTAGCTTTGGGTAAGTAACACAAAGAGTCTAGGAGTCTCAAAGAAATTTTATGAGTAATTTAAGTATACAGTGAAACCTCGATAACTCGAACGTCTATAAGTCGAATTTTCGGTAACCCGAATATCTTCGCCTCTGCATTTCAATAAGTACACAGAATTTTTTCTATAACTCGAATTTTCGATAATTCAAATTTTTTTTTTCGCCCAACCGATTTGAATTATCGAGGTTTCACTGTATTTAATCATTTTTATACATTCTGATATATTTTGCCTGTATAATACTATTTGTTTCAGTATTTTGAAAATATTTTAACATATTTAGGCATAAACAGTTTTTGAATTTAGAAAATGTCATGAAGTCCCATCAATGGATGGTCTCTTCACTCAAAACCCCCTGTCTGAATTAATGTAAATAATCATAACTTCTCAACTTGTTGCTATGTTACCCATATTATTTTGTATTTTCTTTTTCTATAATTATTTCTTCACTTGTGCTTATTGTAAGCCACTAGTTTACAGATTGTACAATTCTCTAGTTTAAAAATAAAAAAAAAGAAAATTTGCAGTTTTCAAGTTTTCCAGTTTTTCAATATTGGTTTAAAAAATCTATACCTTAATACACCTATGACAAATCATTAGTATATAATGTGGTGATGCGAGTGAACGACTGCTCTCAACACCCACCCGAATGTTACAACCTCTGTTTAGTGTTAGGTAGGTACCTACTTATCTTTTTATATTATATAGGTACATTTATATAACATAATAGTTATAACTTACGTCATCATTAGTTGTGTCTATCTTTAATGTTATTACACTATATGGACTATAGAGTATAGTCTGTAAAATTATTTTTCAAAGTGAGATTAATTTTTAAAATGGTATAACGAGGCGTTTCGAGGGACTAGCCTAACCTAACCGCGAGCTTAATAGCGGAGTCTTACTCATCAAACGATTTCCTTTTAGATTTAAAAATAATATTTTAATTTTACCTCAACGCTGCCGGTATATTGACTACACGGTTCATGACCAAGCTGACTGGATAGTCAATGGGGAAGACCAGACCGCCAACGGCCACATGGTCCATAAGGTTTTCACCGACGCCCGGTGAATGATGGATTACCGGTACATTGATACTTCTCAGGTGTTCTTCCGGTCCGATGCCTGGAATGTTAAAAAAAAAAACTAGTGGCATAATCATTTTAATTGTATATACGGTCTATACGGTCTGCGAGCAAATCGTCATCGGGAGCCGGATTACCAAACGGTTGCTTTCACCGAGTGGTTAAAGTCTCTATACGCGGATCCCCTTGTGTATACGCGTATCTACTCACGTAGACACGGAAAAAAACCGACCACATATTATCGAGTATTATTATGTATGCATCTTGCAAACGCACACGCAAAGTTGCGCAATTTCAAATATGAGTTAGGTCAGTTTACAAAAAAAATAAAAAAAGTTTAATGTTAATAAGAATTTAAATGTTTTCATAGTTTTACGTTCAACGTTATATGGTCATTTACATTTTACGTTTAACATTTTAATAATATATATTTTTAATTCTATGTAATATATTTATTACGAAATTTCACATTCCTTTTTCATTGAATATTCTTAACACGAAAAAATAGGTAAAGAAGCATTTCACAAATATGTGTTTTAAGCAAAAATATATTTTATAGTATAATATTATGTAACCAATTAAAATATGTTTTTATGTTTGATTTGTTTCATATTAGAAGGTTAATTATTTTTATAATAATTTTTAATTTTTATTTTATAGTTATATAGTCCAGTTATTTGCTTACCGTTTCAAATGCACTTAAAATGTCAATAGTTTTTTCAAGTAAGTATTACGTTATGATTATAATATGGAAGATGATAATATTATAATATGATGAAATTATGATATAACCACGAATCCTCACCCGAGAGCATAAGCAATTGAGGACTATTGATGGCGCCCGCGGACACCACGACCTCTCTCTTGGCCAGCGCAACCCGTTTCCGGCCGTCCCGTTCAAACTCCACGCCATAAGCCCGTTTGCTGTCCTGGTCGATGAGAACTTTGGTCACGTGTGACCATAAGGCCACGTGCAGGTTCCTCCGCAACCTAATTGGTTGCAAAAACGCCTTCGACGAACTGCACCGGTAACCCCGTCGCATCGTGAACTGGTATAGTCCGTACCCGGTCTGGATGTCGCTGTTGGTGTCGCGAATCTCGTAACCCATTTCTTCGCCGGCTTGCAAGAAAGCGATGCCTGAAAAACCAATTGTTAGACTCAGAAATCAGTAAAAACATAAGCGGGTAAACAGTGACATCGGCATTATACAGGTAATTATATTATAATTAGCGACCACTTGTTAACGGCACTTATAACAATTTGATACGATTTCTATGGAAGTTATATACGATTTTACAATATGCGAGTGCATTAAAACTTTTCTACCAAAGTCATCATAGAAAACTCAATTATACATTTGTTGATAACCCCCTCCCCCCATAATTTTTGCACGGCAAAATTGCATTGCAATGCTCGTATTATGCATGTTTTATAAGGTCAACAGTACTGAAATTTCGACAATATTACGGTTGCAAGTCATTTACGCCATTTGCGGAGTGCGGACCACAGTCTCGCGACGATCAAAATGAACCCGATTCATAATAATCAGACTACTATTATAGGCAGGCACGATAAACGGGTTTGAGCTGCAAGTCATCTGATTAAATCACTCATGGCAATAGCATTTTAATTTCGATCTCTTTTTATTTTATTTTTTTATATTAACGCACAACGGTACCTACTACCTATTACGTGTCAAATGTTACAATCCTATAATAATAATTTGATTTTTATGTGCATATATTATTATTTTTGGTTATTTTTAATATCGATACCCCATACCAGTTAATGTATTTTAATCTCTTCAACACCGAACTATTATATTTTATAGATATCGATCAATAAAATAAAATACTGTTAATAGCGTGTTTAAAAAAAAAATGTATCCAATCAGTAAAATCGTTGTAATTATATTATATTTATTATGAGACTAAAAACAATTTCGATTCCAAGTAGAAAAGATTGTAGGTGATTTATTCATATATACGAGGGGTTACACATTTCGATAAAAAATAAATATAATATTATAACCGTTTTTAAATTTAGAAATAGTTAATAAATTAACGTTGATGAGTTAGTTACTTACAATATAAGGGCTCATTTCTCAAAGAAATTATTCAATAATCAATTCTATAACAGTTACTTTTTTGTTTGTAGTAAAAAATAGTTAGTTATGATAATAATATAAGCGATAGAGTTACGACTTACATCTACCATAAGTACCTACTGTTGAATTATTACTTTATTAGGTATGTATTTTATTGTTCTTAACACCAATATAACAAGCTGAATTGTATCATCAGTTATTAATTATCATGTTTAATTAATTAATTGTAGTTTACACAATATAAAAATGAATCGTTAACGCTTCACACGTGTCGTCGCACTATTAGGTCTTTCATTGGCCGTGTAACCAATATTACCGATACAATAATATGACATATTTATGCTGTATTCGGTTATAAAAGCGTCTCGTTTAATAAGGCGATGCATCCGATACAAGGACGAGTATTGTGGTATGGAATATGTATTATTAAGACGAAAAAAAAACCCGCCCACTTTTCACATTTCTCAACCGTTCACATAAATATCAAATAGCCATCTATTCGTCTGCCTGCCTGTCCGACGAATACCAAAATTATTGTTTCACCAAGCAACTGGCGCGTATGCTTCAACACACGTAACAATGGTATATTTGTATGTACCGCGAGTAACGTCAAAACGTATTATTCGTATATATACTCTTTCTAGCGAAAGAACACTCAGATTCTGCTCATTTCCATCTCTTGATACCCTGCAACCGGTTGCACTACAGCCGGCGGATATCTCGTGGAAATGCTAAGAAAAACGTTTTCGTCGGGCCACGGTGAGTGTTCTGTCGCTGGACAGAGTATATTATAGTCTGAGATTAGGATTTACCCAAAGGCGTGTTCCACGGCGAGTCTTGGACGGTCAGATATCCTCCGGTAGCGTGGTATCTGGTATTCTTGGCCAGATACGGATTCCGTTGGTCCTGCGATTTTTTGAAGTACGGGAGCACGTCCTCAAATCCCCAACCGTAGTTGCCCATGCTCTCCCAGTTGTCATAGTCCCGTTTGTTGCCCCGCACGTACAGCATAGTGTTCAGCACGCTGGAGCCACCGATCACCTTACCCCGAGTCCAACAGCACCGATTGCCCTTCATCGCTTGGCACGCCGAGCTGTCCGGCTGTGTCTTGTACTTCCAGTCGTACTTGCTGCCGTGTAAGTACAACGATATGGCGGGCACGTCCGTTATCTCGGACTCGTGTCCGCCAGCCTCCAACAACAGTACGTTCCATTCCGGGTTTGCGGACAGACGGTTGGCGACCACGGCTCCTGCCGAACCACCGCCCACCACTATGAAATCATACTCGGATCTCAGGTTCTTCTCGTTAACCAGACGGTTCTCTGGATCGTATAGATCATAATTGTAATAGGCCAAAGCAGCCAAGAACGTAGGTAAAAATAGTAGCTTTCCACCTCCAGCCACCTTGGTTGCCAACTTTATGGCACTTATGAGCACTGTGCCTGCGTGCACCATTTTGAGTCTAGGTGTCACATTCTATCCGTAACCATATGACAAGTAAACCTGCAAAACAAACATGTATATGAATTGAGAATTTTAAATATTATTGTGTACCTAAATCGAAACTGTTTAAAGTGGTTTTATTGTTAACAGTCAAAACTCAATTTGTCACTAAAGTGAGTAATCTTTTACACAACTACAAACTTGATCTGTAATCATTATAATAACATAATTTAATTCGTAAAATTACTTAAAAAGGCCCAATGTTAATGCGTATTGCTTTTATTTTCGAGTACATAATTACATTTTGAAAAAATTGTGTTGTAAATTTATATTAATTAAAATATTTTTACTATCTGTAGAACATTTTAATATAATACTTTCTGGAGAAATTATGCATCTATTAATATTGTTTATATAATTAATAGTTTATAATTCAATAGGAAGATGTTTTTTAAAGCCAATAGGTATATTACAATATAAATATCTACATAAAAATAGGAAAGTTTTAAAATACTACTTCATCTTCTTTTCAATTGCGTAATAAGCTCATGTGATATTTAATCTAAAATATACTATCTTAACTTTATGGTGTGTAAATTTATATGTTCCGGATCGGAAAGTGAGTTAACAATAATTTATGTTGCTTATCTTATACTTTTAGTTATATCCAAAAGTATCTACTATTTGTATTAAGCTAATTATGTTTTTAAGCAAAATTATATAACATTAATAAACAGCAATAAATATTAATTACATAAGTATAGTTTGAAAAAAATATGATTTATAAAAACAAAACGTTTGCTTTGCTATCAATAGGATTACTTTAATATTTACTTTAATACCTATTGCTAATAAATCAATTTGTATTATTCACTTGACAATTTTAATAAAATGTAGACAATTTACGTAACTTTATATAATATTTAAGAACTATATAATTAAGTAAGAACTATTAAAAAATTTGATATTCGTAGCCTTGTATAGTTGTAACATATTGTATGTGAACATATTCGACGAAAGAACGAAGGTTGAAAATTCACTCAGCAGTGGTACTCAAATTTTTGTATTTTCTTTATTATATGCCATGTATAAACAATACACATACAGGAAAATATTTCTAAAACATTTATAGTTACGATATGTGGGGCTAGATCATCAAAAAAAAAAGTGTTGGAATGTAGGAATTCAACTATAGAAGATTCTACAGTGTAGTTCCGGTGCGTGATGCGATAGAATAATTTTAAGTGGAGTCTGGTTTTTACAAAACGTTTTGGTTGGGTTAAAAAAAAAACAGGTTGATTATTCGGATTTTTTGATTATACTACTATTGGTAGCATACCTCTCGGCAAGTGAGTATTATTAATAACTACCCAAGACATTGGCACGACTAAATTGTCATAATATTGGATGATAATAATGACTGCGCCCAAAGACAAATGAAATTGGATATTGAAAACCTTTGTAACGATAAGTAATTAATTATTAACACTTTTATCTAGATGCATTACAATATACTATAGGTAGTGAAAGAGAAATTTACTGAATGACAATATTCGTGAAACAATATTTACTTAAAGTGGTAGCTTATACAGAGTTCATGGTCAATACTTTCAGTTTTTATTAATATTTACTAAATGTAATGAATAATTATAATACTAAACAATTGAACTTGAACTGATATATATATATATATTACTATATTATATATATATATGCACATAATATTGTACGAACAGTAACAGTCACGAAATCAATCGGTTCGGCGACAGTGAAATTATTTTTTTTATTATTTTAAATACTATATAATATATTATAATATGAATGCTCAGTTTTCATGAATGACAGAAGTATTTATTCAACGAAAATCATATCGTTTTCATTATGCATGACGTGTTTAATAATGGTGTAAGTGTGTAACACAACCTTTTAACATAGTGCCATAGGTATCCACTATCAAGTTGTAATTATTATTGTTATGAGCTATAACCTGTCATCTATAATATGTACCCATACGTAATCACATGTTTTAAGCCCAGCAATAGGCGGTTATATTTATGTAGGTATATATACCTACTTATTTTTTTTCAATATTTATTTTACGTAAATAATAATAATAATAATTATTATTATTATTGTATTTTCATTTTTTTTTTTTTTTTGTTAGAAAGCTTGTACACTATAAAATATGAAAACATAACATGGATGGTTATTTTGTTCAAATTATACTCTATGACGTTCAGATTTATTTCATAACAACAATTAAGTTTATGCAGGAACCTAGTATTTTTAATTGTGTATATGAATATATAAGTCCGTCAGGTATAACTGGAATATTTTTTAGTACATTTTAAAAATGTTATTATTTGTTAAATAATAATGAAAAAAATAATTAACCACATGCACGTGACTGTTTTATTTTTACACTATTTTGCAATGATCGTAGACACAAAATGGTGTCATTTTATGACATAAACGTTCCCTCTCTTTGAGTAAGGCCAAGGCCACTCTCTCATTTCCCCCAAAGCACAAAGCATACATAACACTTTTCAATTAACTCAAAAAAAAAAAAATGTGACATAATATTCACATTAATTTATCGTAGTCCGCATTATCATAGGGTATATTACGTACCAGACACTTGTTTTAGTAGTTTAGTAGAAAGATAAGTATTTAATTTTTTTTTATTATTATTATTATTACTTATGAACCGTGATAATGTAAAATATTACAGTGTACCTACTAGAGTTAGTAGATACCTACATATATATGTTGGACAACGGATGAACTTGCTTATTTTAAGTACTTATTGACGCTTCTGAATAATTATGTATTAGAGCAATATATAGGTAATGAAGTTTTTTTATAATGGTGTATTCATTTCATGGTCACAAGTTCAAATGGTTGGCACCATTAAAGTCAATTTATTGGCGTACGTGACAATACGACACGACTGGAGTTACGTACGAACGGCAAATATTTAATGATAACCCGATTATTATTGGTGAAAGCCTTATTACAAGTTGGTATTTTGTCTTTACTAGGTAGGTAGGTACAGCGTTTAGATACATACATACAAACTGACGACATAACTGTAGCTATTGCTACACCACGATGTCTTTGCGGCCGTCTCGTTGCGTCGGCTCAGTGACGTACAAGCGATATTGTTTTAAACAATGATAATAATGTAATTAGTTATCGAAACGAAAATATGTATTTTATAATAATTCTTGTTTTACCGGATCAAATGAAATGACGTGCCTAAATGACATTTCGTCGTCGTTGCCAGACGACTGAATGCTTATTCGCAAACAATATGTTCAATGCACGAGGATAATTCGATTACGCAACTTTAATACACGTTTTAGCACAACTGTCGAAAACGCCTTATCTAAAAGAAGAAAACTGCGATGGTAACCGGAAGTCAGTAATTCCAATGACGCCAAAACCTACGTTATTTGAAATTACCGTGATATCGCACGAACACGTGCAGCACCATGTAAACCGGTTGCGGTCGTTAATATTCCACTTTCGTTCTTATATTTCTATATGATACACCTATACTATTATATGTATCTTATAATATCGCCTAACGTTGCATTAGAACCTATCGAGTATAGTAGCACTACGACCGGAAGGTAAAGTATATTACATATTATACTCGGGGTATCACAATTTTGATGTTATAATATTGTAGCCTATAGGTATGCGTTGTTGCAAGTGGTGGTGGTGGGTGGGCACAATATTACTTTATTTTTTCATCGACCATGCCGATGCGGTGTATCTAATCGTCATCGCATTCGAAACGCATGAGATGGGTAAGATAAATCGATCGATAGGTCTCTCACTTGGGCCGACAAACACGTACTAGGTCCAAACGGTCGTAAATAAAAATCAGATAGGCAGTTAACGTACAATAAAGACACTCGATATCTATATGTCTGTATACACACACACACATACACACATACACACACACCATACGTATATAATACAACACATATGAAGGGAATGCGAGTGTAGGGCATATGAATTGAGATGATATATAATAACTTATAACATATGTTATATTGATGAATTACCTGCTGCGGACGTCCCGTTGCGGTAGCGAACGGCTACCTATATAGGCACCGTTGCACACTTGGTATGTCGTCGGTCGGTTTATTATATCACGATGATGTCGTGTTATATTGTTACGTTTTGCTGACTGCGAGGCGCACTGCAGTCGGAGGAAACTGACCGAGAAGAAAAAAAAACTGAAAAACTGCTAAAAACCAGTAGGTGAATATATTATGTAGATTTCGCGAATCGTGCCGCTGTATTGACGGAGATCTCGATAAACTCGTCCGAGATCGAACAGCGGTACAGAGTAATGTGGGGAAATTTTAAATTCAAAATCCGAAAAATACCGATACAGACGACAAACCCGAACAAGAGCCGACCGTTTTTGAGTGGACGCACGCCGACGTTTGAACGCGAGTCTATCGGTCGATGCGGTGTCCGTCCACGATCATTTCCTCTTCCCTTTGGCTGTCGCAGCACCGTCGATGCCCCTCCCCACTCCCGGCCCAGTCATGTGCAGTGAAAGTAACCACCGCGCGCGACCAACGTCGTCGTCGTCGTCATAATATTGTTATAGGCGCGTACGCACATTACGCATCGATGATGTATTTATTATTGTATACGACTACATAATAGATGTGTTTGGATTTAATCGCAGAATATATTATTATTGTAATATATTGCAGAATTAAAAAAAAAAAAACCGAAAGTAAACCTTAATTAGTATTGGCGAGTACCTATTAGGTATTATAATAATAATATTATCGTACTAGTCATTACCGCAAATTGAGATAAAAATACTATGTTATACAGGTACTTTTATATCTTAATAAATCGTTGCAATTACTACTTATATCATTAGAATATTATAATACTATACATCGATGTGTTGCAAATAATTCATATTATTTTTCACACAACAGATTCGACGCCTCGACACCTATTTTAATAAT